AGGGCCACCCCTCATTCCCAGGCTGCACCCCAGAGCCAGGGCCACCCCCCATTCCCAGCCAGCACCCCCGGAGCCGGGCCCACCTCCCATTCTCAGCCAGCACCCCCGGAGCCAGGGCCTTACCCTCTTCGACTCCAGGTACTCCATGCCGCGGGCCACCTGGTAGCCGCAGGAGACCAGGTCCTTGAAGGAGAGCTGCTCCTCAGGCATGGCGCCGACGTCGAAGGTGTAGTCAGGCGTGGGGGGGCGCCGGGCACGCAGGAACTCCCGCAGGTTCCCCTTGGAGGCAAATTCCACCAGCACATACAGTGGCCCTGCGGAGACGGGCCATCAGGTGGGGCTTAGGGTCACTGGGGCCTCCCTCTCCTGCCCCCTTGACCGAGCACAACCCCCTTCCAAGGGGAGGCAGCGCCCCCCCACCTCAAGCGCAGTCTGCTCCTGGGATGAAGTGGGGGGGTTTCTTGTTTTTTTTCTGTTTTCCAGTGGGCTGCATGCAGAGGGGGTGGGACTCAGTTTCCCTGGGTGTTACTGGTTTAACGAGGTGACGGGAGAGGGAGTTTGTTGTTACAGAGGACCGGAGAGGGAACTTGGGACCCCAGCCAATGGCCTGGAGAATGGATACCCCAGCAACAGGTGACCTGGTGACCCAGAGCCGGTTCTGGCCAGTGGGAGGACAATGGGCTGTGAAGAGAGGACCCCGGGGCCTGACCAGCCGGTTCCAGCCAGAGGACAGAAGCGAGGAGAGGAGGCCCAGGCCACCCTGTTTACGACCCTGTTTACCTGGAGAGAAGACAATAGACAGAGTGGGGGCTTGGAGCCGGGTATCTCAGAGGCCCAGCTGGGAAGCAGGGGGGCTCTGGGCTGGAGAGGGGGAGCAGGCAGAGCCCACCTGGATGCAGGGGAGACTGGAAGGTGCTGGTTGGGGAGGCCAGGCCTGAGGCTGGAGAGTTTCCTGTGCTGGGTTCAACGCTCAATAAACCCTCTTGTGTGACACTGGCTGAGAGTCACTCCGGTCTGGAGGACAGGGCGGGGGGGGGGTATTACTCCCTTTCGGGGGGTGGAGGCCCCGGGAGTCCACGTCAGAGACAGACGTGCTAAGGCTTCGAGAGGTGCGGCTCCAGGAGGTGGAGGGGCCTGACCCCGAGAGAGAGTGGACCCCGAGAAGGGCTGTTGCACTGAAAGGGGCACCCCCCACGGACCGCATGGGGCCAAGAGTGGGCACGACCTGGGAGTCCATGACAGCTCCCCCCCTGCTTCGAGTTCAGCAGCCCCCCACCCTGATCCCCAAGCATGGCAGTGAACCCCCCCTCCCTTGAATAGAACAACCCCCACCCCAGCACAGCAGCCCCTCTCCTCGCCCCTGCCAAGCGTGGCAGCCCCTCACCGTCCTGCGTGCAGACTCCCAGAAGGTTGATGATGTTTTTGTGCTTGTCCATCAGTTTCATCATCTCCATCTCGGAGATCAGGTCGGCCAGGTCCTTGTCCGTGGCATTGTCTGGGGGCACAGGGAGGTGGTGACTGTGCAGGGCAGGGAACCGGCGTTGCCGGGGCTGAGCCCTGGGACACCGCCCTGCGTAGCCCTGTTACCTTTGAGCATCTTCACAGCCACGGTGAGAGCTCTGTCTGGCCTGGCTCTGTCCAGCCCATAGGCCTCTGCTCGCACCACCTGGCCAAAGCAGCCTTCTCCCAGGGGCTTGCCCAGCGCCAGCCTGCGGACAGAGAGAGGGGAGGAAGCTACGGCACCGCAGGGTCCCCAAGCAGAGCTGTGCGGTGCACAGGGGGGGAGGGGTGAGAGACGGGGGGTGTCTGCAGCTCCCCTCCTCAAAGCCTGCCCGGAGGGAGGAGCCCCGGTGGCAGGAGTTGAGAAGCTGGAACGAGCTCTCAGTAAAGCAACCCAGAGCCCATGTCCCAGGGCCACGCAGAGGCTGGGCCAGGCCCCGGGTCTCCTGCCCTGCCGCTGGGCCCTCGCTCTGTGAATGGCTCTTGGAGGCAACCGGTGTCTGAGCCCAGGTCGGTCTGTCTGTCCATGCCCCAATCCCAGCCCTCCTGCAGCAGGGCACTGCCACGTGACCCGCCCCCAAGGCAGAGAGCAGCGCAGGGCCCTACTTGTCTCGGGGGAACTCCCACGTGGAGTCCAGTGGCAAGTCGAGCTCCAGGACCCCGGCCAGCATCGGGGTGCAGCTGGACGAGAGGCGGGTGACGCGCATCAGGGACGTGCTGGACTTTCCGGAGCAGCTTGAGTCCAGGGAGAACTGTGGGAGAGCCCAAGAGACCTGCTGTCAGCACCAGGCCCAGCCGCGGAGCACGGGGGGGGGGAGAGGTTGCAGTGCAGGGCCCCGGCGCCGGCGGGAGGTCACCGCCAGACGCGGCGCCGGCGGGAGGTCACCGCCAGACGCGGCGCTGGGCCCCGGCCCTGGCCCTGGCCCTGGCCCCACCCCCGGCGGGAGGTCACCGCCGGACGCGGCGCCGGGCAGTAGCCCGCACACACTACAGCAGGTCCCTGGCCCTGCAGACTCAGCAGGCCACTGTGCCCGCAGCCTCCCTCTGCCCGGACGTACCTGTCTGATGAGCGGGAACTTGGAGAGCTTGTGCACGGCCACGGGCTCCAGGGGCTGTTTGCTCGCCTGGGTCTGCATCCGGCACAGCACCACGATGACGGCGGCCATGGCGACGGCCAGGGAGCCCGACGTGTAGATGATGATGTCGGTGTACTTGGTCTCGGGGGCCTCCACCTCCCGCACTAGCTCCTCTGCTGGAGAGTGAAGCCAGTGAGCCCGGCCCTGTCCCGCCCCCACGGGGCCTCCCCGTGTTCTCGGCAGTTCGGGCCCCTGCCGGGGCCGGAGCACTCCCAGCCCCCCACCTTACCTGGCAGCACGGTGAGCCAGGCTGACTGGTAGGACAGGCCGATGGAGTTCCCGGCCAGGCAGGTGTATTCCCCAGCATCCTCCCTGGAGACGTTGTGCAGGTACAGCACCTCCACCTCCGAGCTGTTAATGTCGGCTGTCTGCGGGGGCAGAGCCGCAGCGTCAGGGCCCAGCCCCGCACCTGGGGTCCCAGCAGGTGGCTGATTCCCTCCCATCGTGGTGGCGCGCCGAGCCCCCTGGACCCAGGCTGAGCCTGCCCCGCTTGGCCCTACCCTGCTACCCCCAGGACTGGGGCTTCTCCCACTGCTCCCCCCAGTCTGCGTCAAGTCCCACCCGGTCTGGGGGCAACGTGTGCCCTGGAGAGCCAGCGCCTGCACCAGGAGGGGCTGCTCTGGGGGCATGGCGCCCTCACTGGCCTGGCCATTACCTTGAGCACTTGGACGTAGGGCACCCCATCGGGGCCGAAGCTGCTGCCGTTCACCTCGATGTGCCTGAGCCATTGGATGTGGGGCTGGGCGTCGCTGTACACCTTGCAGAAGAACTCCACGTCGCTGCCCACCACCGCTGTGGTGTTGGCAGGCAGCCCGGCCTGCAGGATGGGCCTGTGCGGGGACCTCTCTGCCGGGAGGGAAGAGGGAGCAGCATCGCCCAGCTGGACAGCCCAGTGCAGCCAGCCCGGCAGTGGGGCCAACTCCGCCCAGCACGCGCCAACCGCTGACCGGGGCCCCGGCCAAGTGGGCAGAGCAGGGCACTGGCAGGCAGGGCACCTGGTTTGTGTCACCAACTCCCTCCGTGGCCTGGGGCGGTCACAGCCTCTCTGTACCTCATCCCCAGGGGTCAGACGGGAGCCCCCTTCCCCCCCAAGCTCTCCCAGTGCCACACCCGGCCACCGCGTTCCCTCCCGCTGCTCACTCAGCGCGATGCTCAGGCCAGAGTGTCTCTTGCCTGTCTGTCCTTCTCCCTCCTCGCCCCGGGAACGTGGCTGCTGACCCTCCTCTGCCATTGCCCAGCACCACAGCCCGGTGGGAATTCCTCCAGGCCCGCAGCAGCCAGAAGGGGAGGGGCAGAGAGGGGCGGGAGGCAGATCCCGGCTGGGGGCTAGTTGTGTCCATTTGATGCCAGGACCCGGATGATCTCCAAAGTGCTGTGAAGCTTCGGGATCAGTGACCCTGCACCCAGGAGTCTGCCCTGCTCCCAGGCTGCCTGGGGACGGCCCCCGACCAGGACACAGACCCCTCGTTAGCACAGCCCCCAGGGTCTGCGCCAGGCAGGGCTTGACTGGGGAAACCCCCGAGTCAGTGTCTGCGAGCCCCCGGCGCAGGCGAAGGCCTCACCTAACACATCCAGCAAGTAGCTGTAGCGGATGCGGCCAGCCTGGTTCTCCACCAGGCAGGTGTAGTTCCCCCGGTCGGAGGGCACCACGCTCTCCATGACCAAGCTCCAGTGCTGGGGCCGGAGCTGCGGAGAGAAGGGGACAAGCACCAGGTGAGGGGAGGCAGATGGCACCCGGTGCCCAGCAGTGCCCCCCACGGAGCTGGCAGGCAGAAGCCTTCCCCTTATCCCAGAGGCAGCGCCTGGTTACAGGACGGCTCTGATCTCAGCCAGGGCAGACGGAGGCCTGGAGGGGGCTGGGGCAGAGGCGACTGAGCTCCGATCGGCTCCCTGGGAGCACTCTTACCCGGATGCCGCCGATGCGGTGCTCGCCCCGGAACTCCCGCCCGTTCTTTAGCCAGCGGATGCTGGGGTTGGGACTCCCCGACGCCGGGCAGCGGAACTTGACCGTGTTTCCCGCAGGGACGGCATACAGCTTCTTATCCATCCGCTGCGGCTGCGTCCAATACGGGGCTGAGGAGGACATTGCACGATTGACGGCCACTAGCCACAGGGTCGGGAGAAGCTCCCAATGCCAAGTACCAGGGCTCGGAGTGTGCACGGAGCTGTGCCCAGGGACCCAGCCGGTCCTCACAACCAGCTCCTCCAAATCTCCCCTGTATCGACGCCGGGGCAGCAAGGAAGGGGCTTGCAAAGCCCTCCGGGAGGTGCGGCAGCGCTCCCCAAGCACTGCCTTCTGCCCCGGAACAGAGCTTAGCCCGGGAACCCCGTGAGCTGGGCACAGGCCGGGGGGACCTGGCCCTGTTCAGCCGCCTGCCATGGGCGACACAGAGGCTGCCAAGCACGTGGGGGCTGATGGGAGTGGCCTGCAGAGGAAGGGGCGTATGGGCAGGGTGCCCTGCACTCCTGGCAGCTCGAGTGACCCGGCACCAAACCTCTTTTCCCTCGCACAGCCCCTGCTGCAGACAGCTGCCCCGGCACTGACCTCTGCGGTAAGTGGGCTCCTCGTTTGAATCACCGAGGGAACCGTCCCCGTCGCTGTCTTCATCATCGTCCCCCGAGGCCAGCGAGTCTGAAGGAAAGCGTTACGAGGGGTCACGTTCCTCCTGCCTGCGAGCTCCCGGCTACTCCAGCCCCAGTTCTTGGGAGCGGAGCAGGGCACTGGCTTTGCAGAGTGCACCCAGCGACTCCAGCCCCAGCCTCTCCCAGCAGGGGGCGCTGCAGGGAGTGGGGCAGGAGCACTGGCTGGGGGGACGGATGGACGGACTGTCCCAGGTACGCTGGTCTGGCTCTCCCAGCAGGGGGCGCTGCAGGGAGTGGGGCAGGAACACTGGCTGGGGGTGGGGGGACAGGACTGTCCCAGGTACGCTGGTCTGGCTCTCCCAGCAGGGGGCGCTGCAGGGAGTGGAGCAGGAGCACTGGCGGGGGGGTGGGGGTGGGGGACTGTCCCAGGTACGCTGGTCTGGCTCTTCCAGCAGGGGGCGCTGCAGGGAGCGGGGCAGGAGTGCTGGTGGCAAGCAGCGGGGTGGACAAACTCATCTCCCGGGGCAGGAAGGGCCTGTCTGCCCGGGGCTCTTACCCACAATGGAGATGGTGAAGTTGCGCAGACTCTGTCCAGTGTCCTGCGCCCGGCACATGTAGAGCCCCGAGTCCTCATAGGCGACCTCGGCGATCTCCAGCGTGCGCTGCCAGATGCGGACGCGCCCGCCTGGGAAGAGCTGCTTGGCCTCCTTGTACCAGGCGACGCCCAGGCTGTGGTTGTCATCGCAGTGAAGCCTCAGCACGTGGCCGGGGTCCAGCAGGAGGTGCTCCTCCGTCTCCAGCAGGCGGCTCTCAAACAGCGCTGCCCAGCACAGGGGGGACAGCTGAGCCCCAGGGCCCGAAGGCAGCTCATCCCTCCCCAGACAAGCTCAGCCGCTCTGTGCCCCGCACACCCACACCCTGCGGAGGGGCCCGAGGGGGACCTCTGCCCCAGGCAGGCCCCAAGCAGCTGCTCCTCCCACCCTCCGCAATGGACAAGCCAGGGCAGATGGGGGCAGCATGTCCTGCGGTGGCCAGCGCAGGGTACGTGTGTGGGGGGAGGGGAGGCTGGTTTTTTGGATCCCAGAGCCAGGCTGCCCGTGGCATTGGGTCCCCCTTTCCAGAGGCCCCGGGCATGGGGCATGCCCAGCATTAACACTGGGGGCTAAGGGCCCAGGTCCTTCATCTCCCGCTGCAGCCTCCTCGCGTTCAGTCCAACCCCCCAGCCCGGCTCTCCAGCGCCCCCAGATGGACCCCTCAGGCAGCCAGGGACTGCTGCTCCTCCCCCGCCAGCCCCTCTTACCCTCTGACCTCCCGCTGGGCCCAGCCCCGGCCCCCTTTGCAGGGCTGAGGGAAGAGCGGGTGCTGCATGTGCTGTAGCTGGAGGAGAGGAGCCCAGAGCTCCAGCAGCCAGCCCAGGGGAGCAGCGTCTAGCTCCCCCCCAAACAGCGCCGGCTGGGCTCGGGAGGGAGGGCTGCCAGCTGGGCATGGCCAGTGGGAGTGATGGGTTTTCACACTCAGCTGCCTCCAGCACTTCCCGCCTGCCCTGTTTGTCTAACCTGGATTTGAACTGTGATTGCTCGGTGACACCCCCGCAAAGCAGGGCCATGGGGACCTGGCGGCACGCACTCTCCCACCCCCAGCCCCTCTCTTGCTGCCCCCGACCTGGAGTTCTCACAGCTGATCTCCAGACCGGACACTCCAATCCCCTCCAAAGGGCCCTGCCCGGCCCTGGTCAGGGCTGTTCTGCTGCCTGCCCCCTCCCCCGAAGGGGGAGGCAGCCACGGCACACTGGGGGCGGGGGGCGAGGAGGGTTCCTTCCCACCCGGACTGGCTCCCAGTCAGGGTCCAAGCGGCTCCTGCCAGCCCTGCCGAGCGAGTCCGTTCTGCCCCAGCGGTGGTGACTGAGAACCCTTAGGGCTGCAGGTGAGGAGAGGGAAGAAGGCGCCAGATGTCAAGGGGCTATGGGGCTTTGTGTGTAAATGGAGCAGGTTTGATCAGGAGTCAGAGCCAATGAGAGCTGCGCCAAGTCCCCAGAACCACATTTTAACCGGGACACGCCCTGAACCAAGCCAGGGAATCCATAACGAGCGTCTCCAGCCACGGGCCTGGCTCACTCCACTCCGGGCCGGGGCCTGGCTCGGGCAGCCCCAGGAGATGGGGTGGGAGGAAGGTTTTATCATTCAGGCAGTTTCTCCATCAGCCGGTGGCGCTTGGGGCTCAGTGGCTGACACCAGAGCGGAGGTATCAGGAGCCTAAACCCGCCCACAGCCAGCAAGACAAAACTGCTCCAGATCGGCCAGCTTTGAGGTGAAAAGGCTCCGCCCGGCCCAACCCCGAGGAGCCGGACTCTGGGCCTGTGGGGAAGGGACAGGGCCAAAGGCTCCACTAGCTACGGGCTTTGAAAAGCCAAGTCGGTGGCCCCTGAACTCCCCCCCCCAGTCTCACAATAGGTCCCTTGCTGAGGTCTCCAGGTGTTACCACAATACCAGCCAACCCTCCACCCTGTGAGTCTCACTGGGCAACTGCCAGGCAGCACCGGGGACCCAGGAACCATTCCTGCTGTGAGCAAGGGCCAGTCCAGCTGCTCGGCCGTCCTCGCCCAGGCCTGGCTGCAGCACGGTGCGATCCCTGGAGCTCCCGCGGCACTGAACTGCCACCATCTGCCTGCGCCGGGACAGGTACAACAGCAGCAGGCCTGGATACCCGCGCACCTGAACAGCGCCTGCCCGTGCGGCACATGCTCCGTGCTCCGGTGCCATTCCCGCACAGGCTGTGCGCCCTGCACACCTACCAGCACCGCCCAGGTGCCAAGTGCGAAGAACTAGGCTCGGACTCTCCTTGGCCTGTTGCCTGCGATGGCTATTTCCCCTGCTCCATGCAGCTCGCAGGCTCCCCTCTGGTCCTTCCTCCCAGCTCCCCTCACCCCCGGGCTCTGTCCCGCCCCCGCCAGGCCCCTCTCTGCCCTTTCCTACCTGGCTCCATTGTCCTTCCGGGGGAAGCAACTGCTTGAGCCCCTGTTGTCATCGCTGCCAGGAGGCCCAGCAGGGCACAGGGCAGTGGCTGCATCTTCCTGCCCTTCCTCTCCTGGCTCAGGCTGGAGCCCAGGCCCTCACAGCCTGAAACCACAGGGCCAGAGAGAGCCGGTTACCCTGCCACTGCCGCCTCCTCCTCCTGCCCCCCCCGGGGAACCCCCAGAGCCTCAA